TTTTTAATAGAGACTGGGTTTCGCCATGTTGGCAAGGCTGGTCTTGAACTCCTGACCTCGAGTGATCCTACTGCCTTGGCCTCCCAAAGTGCTAGGATTACAGGTATGAGCCATCATGCCTGGCCCACTTTACTCTTATCTCCAGTATATTCAACTTATGACACTTGGACTATTATAAAAGCCTCCAAATATATCTGCCATCTGTCACTTCCAATTTTCTAAACACATTATACTCTTTCATGTTTCCTGTTGCTTGGAATATATACCCCAAACACTTACCTATTTAGTAAACTCTGAGTTCAAATGGTTTTTGTGTGTGTGTGTGTGTGTGTTTTAGAGATGAGGTCTTGCTCTGTACCAAGCCTGCAGTGACACAATTGCAGCCTCCAATCTTGGGCTCAAATAATCCTCCCACCTCAGCCTCCCAAGTAGCTGAGACTACAGGTATGTACCACCATGTCCCGTTAATTTTTTCCTCTTTTTTTAGAGGCAGGTTCTCACTGTTGCCCAGGCTGGTCTCAAACTCCTGGCCTCAAGCAAAATTCTCCTGCCTCAGTCTCCCGAATAGCTGGGATTATAGGCATAGGCCATGGCTCAGGAGTTAATGCATTCGTTAAGTAACACATCCTCTGGAAGAATGACTTTTAGGACTCAGGGAAAACTTAACAGATGTGCTAACATTTGTACCTAAACCATTATCATAGTCTATAATTAAGGTTTATTTTTAAAAACTGGGGTCTGCCAATGCTATAAGATGAATTCTTAAAGTCTATGTTTAAACAGTTCTATTTGTTATAAAGACAATTTCTCTTTTACAGTTTAAGTCATGATTGAAAGCATGTTCAACAAATACGCATGTTTAGGTGATGTGAGTTTATAAAACGCCATTTTCCTTACCAAATCCTTTTTTTTTTTTTTTTTGAGACAGGGTCTTACTCTGACACCCAGGTTGGAGAGCAATGGTGTGATCTCGGCTCACTGCAACCTCCGCCTCCTGGGTTCAAGTGATTCTCCCACCTCAGCCTCCTGAGTAGCTGGGACCACAGGCACGCACCGCTACACCCAGCTAATTTTTGTATTTTTTGGTAGAGACAGGGTTTCTTCATGTTGCTCAGGCTGGTCTCAAACTCCTGACCCCAAATGATCCACCTGCCTCAGCCTCTCAAAGTGTTGGGATTACAGGCGTGAGCCACCACTTCTGACCTATAAAGCACTTTCTACATATATTTTGTCACTTAATCTGTATATAATAATGTGAGGAACACAAGTTTCTATTCTATTATTCCAATTTAAAGAAAGACCAGCCCAAGATATCACAATAATACACCCAAGACTGGAATTAAGATTTTCTATTTCTCTGTTTTTTTTTCTACAAAGGAATCAGAACCATCAAAGCTAATTTGGATAAAGAAAATAAATTCACATACTGAGTAATTATATGTACCAAACACAATATGAGATGGTTTATTTTTATCATTTAATCCTCACAAACATCCCTCTGCAGTGTGTTATGGTCTTCATTTGGCAGTGACGCTGTTTTAGCAGAGAGGTTAGATAACTTGTTTAAAGTCACAATTAGAAAGTGGTAGGGGCCAGGCACAGTGACTCACACTTGTAATCCTAGTACTTTGGGAGTCTGAAGCAAAAGGACTGCTTGAGGCCAGGAGTTTGAGACCAGCCTGGGCAACACAGTAGGACCTCATCTCTACAAAAAATAAACACTTTAGGAAGCTGAGGTAGGAGGACAGGAGTTCAACACTAGCCTGGGCTGTTAACATAGCGGGGTCTCATCTCCACAAAAAGTGAAAAAAAAAAAAAAATTAGCTGGGTATGTTGGCACAGGGCTATGGTCTCAGCTACTAAGGAGGCTAAGGCAGGGTGTTTACTTGAGTCTAGAAGTTCAAGGCTGCAGTGAGCTATGATCACATACTACTCTACTTCAGCCTGGGTGACAAAGCAAAACCTTGCCTTAAAAAAAAAAAAAGTTTCTCTGGAATCCAAACAACATTTCTCTTTTTCTTTTTTCTTTTTTTGAGAGGGAGTCTCGCTCTGTTGCCCAGGCTGGAAAATAGTGGCACGATCTTGGCTCACTGCAACCTCCGCCTCCTGGGTTCAAACAATTCTCCTGCCTCAGCCTCCCAAGTAGCTGGGATTACAGGCATGTGCCACTACGCCCAGCTAATTTTTGTATTTTTAGTAGACATGGGTTTTCACCATGTTGGCCAGGCTGGTCTCGAACTCCTGGCCTTAGTTGATCTACGCACAAAGTGTTAGGATTACAGGCACGAGCCACCACGCCCAGCCTCCAAACATTCCTAATGATTTCACTTAACAGAAGAAACTTACATCAAGTTATTTCTGGAACATGGTACAGAAAACAGTTCCTAGGTTTAATGCACAGTACAGTTCAAAGTCCCAAAGTTTCATATTTAACATGATAAATGTCTGGCCTTCTGTCTAAATTTTCTTCCCAGATATTACTTTGAAAAAGGAGTTAGAAAGCTATTCATTTACTCTCAAGCCCAAGGCTTTACAGATAGGGCTTACTAAATCACATGTCAAAGGAATAAACTAACAACTGAGAACTCCAAAGCCTCAGGGAAGAATTCCAAGGCTGCTATTTGGGCAAACCTGCCTGACTTTTCCAAATACAGTTTTCTGATAAAGTAGGAAAACTTCAAATACTCCTCAAAATTGGAGAGCACAGTAAGAAATGGTCTGATCTTATACAGCAATTCTATATTCCATTTTAGAGATCTTATTTCTAAATTTATAGGAACATGAAGCCAAAAACTAGTATCAAAAGGAAAAAAGGAAATGTAAGAAGCTGAATGCAGAATAAAAGCATTTAAGAAAGGAACAGGTTTGAATCTTCTTTGTCACAACTTGATACACACTTTTGAAATAAAAGGTATTAATCAGGCATGTAAATGTTTAAGCAGATTTTTGTTTTGCCAGCTCATCAATTCACAAATTAGTACACATTTCCTAAGAATCCAGTAGACTCCTTCAGACACGGCTCGGATAACAGACAGATAAAAAATACAGAGATTACCAAAATTAGTCTGTAAACTCCATGAAGAAAGAACCCATAACTGTTTTATTCCCTGATGTTACCCGCAATGAGAAACGCATAACCTGATATGTAACACTGAGAAGTCATGGAATAGAACATATTTTAATAATCTGCTTTATCAAGTTGTAAGAGTATCAAGAAATCATAGCTATTTTAATATTAAATACCAGTCAAATGAGAGTCACCATAAGATCTATTTTTTTTTCTTTTTGAGGTGGAGTCTTGCTTTTTCACTCAGACTTGAGTGCAGTGGCGCAATCTAAGCTCACTGCAACCTCTGCCTCCAGGGTTCACGCAACTCTCCTGCCTCAGCCCCCAGAGTAGCTGAGATTACAGGCGCGCACTACCACACCGGGCTAATTTTTGTATTTTTAGTAGAGATGGGGTTTTGCCGGTCTCAAACCCCTGACCTCAAGTGATTCACCTGCCTCGGCCTCCCAAAGTGCTGGGATTACAGGTGTGAGCCACCGCACCTGGCCCCCATAAGATCTAAATGTAGCTATCCAAAATTCCTAATTAATGTTTTCAGGTTCTCTTAAAAAAAAAAAAGGAGTTCAAGCGTGTGCTTACTTCCCATTTTGATCATATAACTGATCCAGAAATAATTAGCTTTGTTAACAAAGTTAGAAGAAAAAACAAAAACATAATTTCAGAAAGAAGAAAAAAAGATATAAACAGATGGGTTCCATGCAGACCAGCCTCTAGAGGAGTAGAGCTGGCTAGCTCTGTGGCTTTTGTCCTCCAAGCCAATTTTGAGAGGGGAAAGAAACACACTGGAAAACATTAAAAATAACACCATGGCAGGCTGGGCACGGTGGCTCAAGCCTATAATCCCAGCACTTTGGGAGGCCGAGACAGGCGGATCACGAGGTCAGGAGATCAAGACCATCCTGGCTAACAAAGTGAAACCCCGTCTCTACTAAAAAATACAAAAAACTAGCTGGGCGAGGTGGCGGGCGCCTGTAGTCCCAGCTACTCGGGAGGCTGAGGCAGGAGAATGGCGTGAACCCGGGAGGCGGAGCTTGCAGTGAGCTGAGATCCGGCCACTGCACTCCCGCCTGGGCCACAGAGCGAGACCCTGTCTCAAAACCAAAAAACAAAAAACACCATGGCATTAGTTACCATGAAGCCCGAGAGTCATTGCTTTCCTGCAAATCTAACATGTACATGGATACATATGGCATATAAATCTAAAATGTATTATGTACAGATACTTTTGGAGGTACTATCTTATTTCTTAACAATCCCTAATATGACAAGCAGAAAATTCCAAGACAATTAAGAGACAATTTCCAACATCTGTACGTAATCTCCCTACTCAACCTCTCTTGAAACAACCGCACGTATCAGCACAGCTAACATTTAAAAATACTTTTTTCACTATCACACTCTCCTCTTCCTTCAGATTCTAATAATATATTACAATTTTCTTTTCTTTTTTTTTTTTTTTTTTTTTTTTTTTTTGAGATACAGTCTTGCTCTATTGCCCAGGCTGGAGTCTTGCTCTATTGCCCAGGTAAAATTTTGGCTCACCACAAACTCCACCTCCCAGGTCCAAGCGATTCTTGTGCCTCAGCCTCCCAAGTAGCTGTGACTACAGGCATGCGTCACCATGCCCAGCTGATTTTTATATTTTTCACAGAGACGGGGTTTCACCATATTGGCCAGGCTGGTTTCGAACTCCTGACTTCAAGTGATTCACCTGCCTCAGCCTCCCAAAGTGCTGGGATTACAGGTGTGAGCCACTGCACCATGCCACATAATTACAATCTCTAGAGGCTCTTTTCTCATATGCTTGTGACTTAATCCCACTTGTAGAATACTTTGTCAACTAATCTGCCATAAAACAAAGTCCTTCTATGAATGTATATCACTAAAGTGCCCCCAAAACAGCTGTCAGCAAGCAACATACAATAAAACTCACCCTCCTTACTTTATGTTTGGTTCTCTCTCTTCACATGTGGTTCGTGGGTACAGAAGTTCTTCCTCCACCCATTTTCACTCAGTTTATGTCTCTAGGCCTGCTCCCCAGAGGAAGATGATAAAAGCTACTCCTGCTTCCCAAAGCGTGGAACAACTGGCTCTGCTCTGTCCCCTTTCCCCAGCCCCTACCAGTGTCCATGGTTGGTCAGTCTTTCAGCTCATAGAGAGGGGAGCTTTGAGAAATACATCTAGTGACTTACCCCAGCAGCAAATCCCAGGTGGATACAAATTGTGAAAAGGGTAATTGGGAGATATTTTAAAAGATATGTTTCTCCATGTGCCACAACAAACCAATGCCTGAAGCTGGGTTCGTGTTCACTGGTCAAATAATGTCCACTGTAGTGTGTTTCTTCACAGTATGACTGAGAAGGGGTGGAAGATTTAGAAGAGTTTACTGGTAATTTCCCTCTGGAGAGGAAAAGGGGCCTGAATGAGAAGGGAAAAAAGGGGCTAATTTCTTGTTACTCTCCCTGCTACTCCTAGATGCTACTACTGACAAAAGTATATTAAATAGGGACGCTAAGGAAACATGGGCAAAATAAGAACGCTATCCACTAGAAACTAAGATAAGTAGAATCTTAGCTGGTAGCCAATGGGCTAAAGGTTAAATGCTCGGTTCCTTACCCCCTGCGGGGGGCAAGGCAGGAAGAGAAAAGCGGCTCTTGACTGAGTGGAGGATTCTATGTGACTGAATTTGCTGTTCCCCTTCTTGGCTCTGTTTTCAGAATCACAGACTGCCCCCCTCCCTGACAAGCGGACTCCAGCACCTGGTAGGGGTAAGAGAAGACAAGAGAGAAAAAAGGGAGACAGAGAAAGATAAAAAACATCAACAGCCATGTTGCCAAACTAAACAACTAAATCAATGACATGAAAGAAAGAAATTAACAGCAATAACTAAGATAGAAAGGAATAAAATAGGATTATCTCAAGACAAAAAAGGTCTCCTCCCCTTTGACACACTAACCAAATAAAACAGTAACCATTGGAAAAGAAATTTAACTATGATTACTTTTAAAATCAGAGGTTTACATACTAAAATTTAGGAAATACGTGTTAAATCTCCACGACTGGAATTTCAGAGTGTTTTATTCCAAATGAATATCTTAAAAGTATTCTGATAATTGCTTTTAAGAAATCATTTTTTAAAATAGAAGAAATGACCTTTAAGCTACCCAATGTTGTGAAAGTAACAAAACTGAGATTTTAAAACATTTAAATTTAAATGGTTATAGTTAAGAACACCCATAAATATAATGAACGTATCAAGCCCACAAAAAAAGAAAAATCTTCATAGTAGGCTGCCCATATACTTTCCATACCGATTTAGAGTTGAGCCTAACTCCACAAAGATGTGGTAACAATATATATAACTAATGGGAAAATGACAGCATACTGAAAGAATTTACATAGCAGTTGCATTGAGCACGGTTAGTGTAATAACCCCACTCAGAACAGAATTACCACCCCATCGCTATTCGCAAACACAAATGGAATAAAATAGTGGAATTACAAATGTGTGATCAGAGATAACGATATATCAAGGGCAGATTGAAATGATTACCACTCTGGTTTGGGTTTTTTTTTTTTTTTTTTTTTGGTGGGGGGTGAGGAGTGTAATATGTACATCATCCTCAAATTTTTAAAGAATCAAAACTAGACAAGCAATTATTTGGTCATCCCCTTCTCATTCAGAGGACTGTCAAAGGAAAAGGTGGAATGACTGTCACACTCTAAAATTTACACGTAAGGAGGAAAACGTGGAATCGAAAACAGGAGCTGCGGGACCGCAACACATGATCCTCCTCCCGCCGTCGCTCCACAGAATTTGTGGGAATGAGGGGCGGGTGTGTAGGGGGGTCGTCGCCGCAATCCCGAGGACACATCGGCAGCCCGCGGGTCCGACTGCAGCCGGCGTTCCCGGGGTTACCACACCCCCTCGCCGGCGGGGAAACCACACTCCTTACACGCCCGAGGTCGCCGCCCCCAAGACACGGCTCGCCCGGTCTCACGCACACGCCACGGGCCGGCGCCTCCCGGCACACGCGCGAAGGCCGGGCCCCGCCTCGCTCCCCACCGACTCCGCGGAGCGGCGACCACCGGCCTCCACTAGCCCCGTCCCCTCCCCGGCCCAGCCCCCGCCAGTGGGGGGATCCATTCCGCTGAACTCGCCCACTCGGGAGGGCGCGCCTTCGCCTCACTGCTCTACACCCGGGGGCAGCAGCGGTCGTACCGCTCACCTGGCTCGGGGGCTCCTCCCTCGCTCTCGGCCGACGGAGCCGGGCTGGGGCCTTCGAGGAAGCGCGGGCCGCCGGGCGGCTGGAAGTGAGGGGAAGGAGAGGAGGGGGAGGGGGTCGGGATACCGGGAGCCGCCTCCTTTCTCCTCCGCCGACCGCGGCTCCCGCAGCCAGGCCGGGCGTCCTCGCACACTCGCCCAGTTTCTCACAGCCTCGCGGCCCGTCAGCCTCTCCCTCACCCCACTCCCACACACTCTCACTCCCACACACTCACACCCGGCCGCTCCTCGTTCCCTCACTCGCCTGCCGCGCGCGCGCGCGCGACCCCGCTCACACACAGCGCGCGCGACGCCGGCGGAGACCGCCCAGCTCCCCGAGACCGAGCGCCGCCCGCCCGCCTGCAGAGGACCGGCGCGCGCCCCGGCCCCGCCCTCCTGGCGCGGCGGCGCGGCGGGCGGGGGGCGGCGGCCCGAGGAGCTGGGGGCCGGGCCAGCGCGCCGAGCACTGCCGAGCGGATCTGACACCTGCGTGGAGACCCGCCCTCCCAGCTCCTCGCCCGCACCGGAGCCATCGCTGGCCTCGGGGGAAGAGAGGCGGTGGATCGCGCGCGGGGAGCGAAAAGGGAGCGCGAGGGCGCTCCGAGGACGCGCCTCCCCACCCGCCCCTAAACCGTCTTCACTGAGAAAGGGAAACGGATGGGGGGTGGGGGCGAGGTTTGTTCCCAACTCGAAACCGCGAGATTAGTCCCTTCCGTTGTACGCCCTCCCCGCCCTCACATTCCCTGCTCAGGCCCCATATGTCTGCGCCTGGAGCGGCGACGCGAGCCCCCGAGCCCCTCGGGCGCAGGGTCCGGTCCGCATCCCCACGCCTCCCGCCCAGCCCTTCCGCCGGCCGCCGCCCGGAGTCCCCGCTTACGGTGGTTCCTCCCTCCGGTAGGCAAAGATATGGAAACAAAGATCATTCATACCTAGAAGGTCTTTATCCGTGACCGGAGTAAAGACAGTATCTCTGTATATTGAGAGGCAAATTTAGAACCACATGATAAATTTCCTGGCTGAAGCGGGTTTGGAGATACAGGCGGGGTGGATAGCGCCAGCTCTGCCCCCTAGAAACCAGCGTAAACCTTGGACAAGTTAGTTGCTACGCTTCCTCAGAGCCTTTGTTGTGAAAAGATAAAAGTACAGTCCGGAGTCGTCGTGAGAATGAAATGAGATATTTTAAGAGCATTTTGTAAATTCTAAAACTATGTATAAAAAATAAAATTATAGCCCAAAGGAGGCTAAGAATATGAATGTTCAACTACGCTATTCCTTTTTCTTAAGGAAAAAAAAAAAAAAAACCCAAGGGCGACCGACGACCTCCAGGTTGACATGGAAGATTCACTTCCAAATAATGTCAGTCATCAGAGACTCCAGGTGTGAGGTACAGTAGTGTGCTCACCAGTTTGCCTTCTTGCTGGTCTCAGCCCTGTCTCAGTGACCTCAGCCAACAACTTTTCACTACTCCACTCTCAGTCAATCGCCAATATAATTTCATTTTCTGCTTTTAACGAAATTTTGACAAATTTATTTCAGCGTCTCCAGAGTCCTTTAAGAGATGTAGCATAACCCAGGATGGTAACTTCTGGATCCAGATGGCCCAGATTGGATTTATGGTTCTGCTACCCATGTGATCCTCTGCAGTAACTTAACCTCTCTGTATCTTTATCTGATGAGCTGTAAAAGTGAGGATAAAAATAGTTACCTACTTCATGGAGTTGTCATAGGAGTAAATGAGTTAATAAGTATATAATATTTAACACCTGACACAGATCAAGTGCTGTTCAAAGTGTTTAGTGTTATTGTAATGTTACATCAGTGAGTAACCTAGGATAGGCGTCTAGTTTTACAAAATTTAGAGGAACAAACGCCCTATTAGATACACTATCTTGAGAACAAAGGGGATAAAGTCTACAGAACTAAAATGTTGCTATTTACTTCCACTCTGATATTCAGCCCCCTGGGACATAAAGTATATTCAACTCAAAAACCAAGAGAAGCATTTTGTGATCAAGGAAAGCTTGAGCACAGAGAGACTAACACTGAAAATCTGGCAAAATAGACATAGTGAAATTGACACAGGGAAAAAATTGTACAGAGGATCAATAATAATATTTAAGCTATTCCTTCAGTCCCACTCTTAAGGAATCCAATTCATGGTAACTGCATCTCCAGAAAAAGTGGGTTGTACTGGTGAAACTGTGGATAGGAAGTATGACTATTAACTCACTTGACTATTAACACTTAAAAGTTGTTATTCAGGGCCAGGCACAGTGGCTTACGCCTGTAATCCCAGCACTTTGGGAGGCTGAGGCAGGTGGATCACCTGAGGTCGGTAGTTTGAGACCAGCCTGACCAACATAGAGAAACCTTGTCTCTACTGAAAATACAAAAGTGATGGCGCATGCCTGTAATCCCAGCTACTCGGGAGGCTGAGGCAGGAGAATCACTTGAACCTAGGAGGTGGAGGGTTCAGGCCGAGATCATGCCATTGCACTCCAGCCTGAGCAACAAGAGCGAAACTCTCTCAAAAAAAAAAAAAAAAAAAAAAAGTTGTTATTCAATGTATTGCTACTGTGTGCCATACACATTCTGAGATATTCTCATGTATATAACAACGTTGCTTTTGACTTAAGCTAATAGGGAGTAAAACAAAGCTCAGGAGGGTATTTTTAAAAACAAAGCCAATGATAAGGCTTAAACAGATTACCATTATCGTGATATTGTTAAGATAATGTTCATGTAATGATCAAATTCAGACATCATACTTTTTGTATGAAGTAATAAGGGAGCAAAAATTATTTACACTATTTCCATATTGGAAACCCAAGGTTCAGAAAGGCTGTACATAGATTCAGTCATAATCTTTGAGCATTCATGGTTGATTTGTTTAGGCAGCTATGGACTCACATCTCCTTTGGGTAGCAACATCTGCTCAAAAATACTTTTAAGTATTGTTCTTGACATAATCATGCACAACTCTTTTTTAACTAGTGAATTAATATTTTTTAGGAAGTTCGGTGGGCGGGGGGGGTGGTCAGTTGAATCCCCTGGGAAGACATACTGTAAGTAACCTAGCATGTCTGGAGTCAGATCAATCTGATTTGAAATCCTAGCTGTATTTACTAGCAGCATGAGATCGTTGCTTAACTTCCATAAACCTCAGTTTTCTCATCAATAAAATGAAGATCATATTAGCACCACTTTATTAAGATAGAAGGATGAATGAGGTAACTCAAACATAATGCATAACATAGTAAGTCTCAATGAATGTTAGCTATTATTATTCAAGACTAATTGATACCAAAACAGTCAAATAGCGAAGAGAAATTATACAATATTCAGA